TGACCTTCTAGTTACACTATGATTCCTATTGAGTGACCTTCTAGTTACAGTATGAGTTCTACTGAGTGACCTTCTAGTTACACTATGAGTTCTACTGAGTGACCTTCTAGTTACACTATGATTCCTATTGAGTGACCTTCTAGTTACAGTATGAGTTCTACTGAGTGACCTTCTAGTTACACATGTAACTAAAATAAAATTAGTACAAGTAAAACCTAAGTGAATATTACATTTGAACCAGAAATAACAGTACCTTCAATTTTTGTGTATAAAGATCTTGGACCTTATGAGTAATTCTTGGTCTATTAATAACTAAAAGGTGACCAGTGTGACGAAACAGCACACAAATGTAGTCTTAAGTTTGTTTCTCATGTTATACCAATAAAGGTATGGGAGGTTGACTCAGATAGAAACATTAATTATAGAATAAATAGAGCATGCAACAAACACTTTGAATATTTATAAACTGAGACAGAGAAAAAGTATTTATCCACACAACAAACGCCATAAATATTCAAGATATCATATGTAATATCAATGATTTAGTGATTTTAATCTGTCATGTTTTCAAAGTAATATTTCTTTTTATTTTGAAAAGTTTGATGTCTATTTTTAGTTAATGTTCTGCGTCAATTATAAATCCGAGTCTGTGGTATTAACTCCCAAATTTAAAAGAAGATTCAAAGAATAAAAACTTTGTTTTGGAATTTTCTCCAAATTAAATTTCTACCCAGTAATGAAATAGCAACCAAAAAAGTGACCTTGGAATAATCAATAATCAATATCTAATAGATCCTTCTACCGCTTTCACTGATATCGATCAGGCGTGGTTGCTACTATCATAGAATTAGAAAATATGAGCTGTTTTTGTCTGTACAATGTCCCAATACTTAATTGGTTTCTTATATTCAACTGACGCCACAAAAATGCTTATATGAACCATTTCTGAGTTGGACAATAGATACATTTAATTTTATGAGCTATTTTCCTTCCTTCTCCCAATATTATTCTTACAACCCTCTACCATTGAACACCATGTTCGTCCTTCTACCATTGAACACCATGTTCCGTCCTTCTACCATTGAACACCATGTTCCGTCTCTCTACCATTGAACACCATGTTCCGTCCTTCTACCATTGAACACCATGTTCCGTCCTTCTACCATTGAACATGTTCCAGTGTACTCTATTATTTGTTTAAACTTCTTTTTCAGAGTTTCCAAACAAAGCTCATCCATGTCTCATTCGTTCTTTCTTTTTCTTCCTTTGGAAAGGTTAAAATCTTGGTCATCTTTACACGTGAAATCTGACTGCAACCTTTTTGTGTATATTTTCCTTGTTATTGCGAACAGTTCTACTACTTATTATAATATCATGCATATCTTGTACTTCTGAAGGTGTTTCAACTATGTTTGATGCTGAATTCATCAAGTGATATTATTCTCCCTTCAGGATGTTTTCTTGGATATCCTTGCCTCTTATTAGATATTAAACTTCCAGTTGGAGCTAATACTAACTGTTTGATCAACGTATCATTGAGCTTTCTGTTCATTGCGTAAACAGATAATTTGTGTTAGTTTTTCACTTCCTTATTATATTTTTATTTTTCCGAGTTTCAGTTTAAAGTTTGTTAAAATTGCAGAATATTTGGACCAATTTTTACTGGTCATTCATTCAGGTCATTTGTAATAGGTGTGTAAAATACATGAGTCGTTATTAAAATGTGTATGCCCGGATTAAGTCCACAGTAGTTGACGCACATTTATGTCCTGATGATATTTACTTACGAAATACATAATTACTTTTACTGTGTGTGGATATCACAGTAAAAAAAGTCACCGTTTTACCACGTTATTATAAGTTTTGTTCAACACTCAATCAAAAAACAACACCGATAAAAACTTCAGAGAATTTTTTTTCTGCCTCAATTAAAAAATCTTGGTACAAGCTAGAATAAAGACAGTTTGTGTAGAAAATCTTACAAACAGAAAACTTGAGACCATATTTTATGCTGAACATTTATTTGCCATGAATGTAAGTATTTTACTGTTCCAATTCTGGCCAATAGAGGGCACTATAGAGAACCTAAATAACTGCAACTGCAAAATTTTGCAGTCATGCACGATAGTACTTTGAAAATGAAGTCTATATATAGTGTCAAAAATAAACTTTGAAAGTTAATAAATATGATAATGAAACTACGGTTTTGATTTTCCCAAAATTGTTCTGTTCACTTATCATTATTGTCCTCTGTGAGTTATACAAAATTCGAGCACCAATCGTGCTTTATTCTTCCTAAGGTATAAAATTATTAGTAAAATAATGAGATATATATATATATGAATTATACTTTGTGAACTTGAACACAATTTGTGAGTGAGGAGTTTAACCTCTAATACTTAATAAACTTTGTGAGTGAGAAATTTAATCTCCAGTACTTAATACGCTTTATAAGTGAGTAGTTTAACCTCCAGTACTTAATGCACTTTGTGAGTGAGAAGTTTAACCTCTAGTACTAAATACGCTTTGTGAGTGAGAAGTTGAACCTCTAATACTTAATACGCTTTATAAGTGAGTAGTTTAACCTCTAATACTTAATACGCTTTATAAGTGAGTAGTTTAACCTCCAGTACTTAATGCACTTTGTGAGTGAGAAGTTTAACCTCTAGTACTAAATACGCTTTGTGAGTGAGAAGTTGAACCTCTAATACTTAATACACTTTGTGAGTGAGAAATTTAATCTCCGGTACTTAATACGCTTTATAAGTGAGTAGTTTAACCTCCAGTACTAAATACGCTTTGTGAGTGAGAAGTTGAACCTCTAATACTTAATACGCTTTATAAGTGAGTAGTTTAACCTCTAATACTTAATACGCTTTATAAGTGAGTAGTTTAACCTCCAGTACTTAATGCACTTTGTGAGTGAGAAGTTTAACCTCTTGTACTAAATACGCTTTGTGAGTGAGGAGTTTAACCTCCAGTACTTGTTTCTTTACCCTTCTACAGTCGAGATTTGATCCCTTGTAAGAGGCCATGGTTTTCAATCATTAGAAATATTTCACCAGAACCTGACAAACCTTATAGAGTATGTTTCATTGAACAATCGGAAATGTTTCTTTATGTTCTTGTTGTTGGAATTATTTTAGCTCTAAGTTAGTTATATGAGTTCTGTCCACCACGGGCACTCAAACCCTGAATTTTAGCGATGTAAAAGTCCGTCGACACACCCAAGGACTTATGCTTATTACACACTATGTTTAGTACATTCATAACTTGTGTGATCATGTTAAATTATAATTATCTGTAGTTATTCCAAAAATAAGTTACGATTGCTTTGGTTGTTTTCGAGCAAAGCCACATAGGGCAAACTGTGTGTGATTGTCTTCCTTATGTAACTGACCCATAAATCTAGAAATGCAGACTTTCAATTTTTTCAGATCTTCATCCTCTAGTGTCCTTTGGTGGCCAAATTCTGGAACTGTTTTAGCAATTTATGCACACCCAAATATTGCATTAAAATCAGTTAATATTCAGTGTAGAATATCCACTCTTTGGATTTTTCTGTCTGAGCTTTGAGGACGTGGGAGCGTTATGGGAGTAAAGGTTAAATCCCACTACTTGATTAGGGTAGTCCAAGATTTGACGTTGGGTGGATTTTACTGGTTGCCTTACCTCTAGTGCATCAAATTACAATTATGGTCGACTCTGCGCAAAAAGCTCTTGTATAGCTTTTCACGAATATCCGAAACAATTATTTGCCATACTGTTGATTTAAGTAAACATTTTATGAATTTAACTTTGGATCTGTAGAAAAATGTACTAAGGTGAAAGCTATTTGTATGTACACAAAAAGTGTACTGCAAATTAAAGTGATTTGGATGTACCTGAAAAATGTACTTCAGATGAAAGTAATCTGGATGTGCACAAAAAGTTTACTGCAGATTAAAGTGATCTGAATGTACACAAAAATGCAATTCAGCTGAAAGTGATCTGAATGTACACAAAAAATGTACTTCGGACGAAAGCGATCTGGATATACACAAAAATGTACTTCGGATGAAAATGATCTGGATGTACACAAATGTACTTCGGATGAAAGTGAGCTGGATGTACACAAAAATGTATTTCTGATGAAAGTGATCTGGATGTACACAAAAAGTGTACTTCGGACGAAAGTGATCTGGATATACACAAAAATGTACTTCGGATGAAAATGATCTGGATGTACACAAATGTACTTCGGATGAAAGTGAGTTGGATGTACACAAAAATGTATTTCTGATGAAAGTGATCTGGATGTACACAAAAAAGTGTACTTCAGACAAAATTGATCTAGATATACACAAAAATGTACTTCAGATAAAATTGATCTGAATTTACACAAAAAGTGTACTGCAGATTAAAGTGATCTGGATGTACACAAAAATGCACTTCAGCTGAAAGTGATCTGGATGTACACAAAAAATGTACTTCGGACGAAAGCGATCTGGATATACACAAAAAATGTACTTCGGACGAAAGTGATCTGGATATACATAAAAATGTACTTCGGATAAAAATGATCTGGATGTACACAAATGTACTTCGGATGAAAGTGAGCTGAATGTACACAAAGATGCACTTCAGATGAAAGTGATCTGGATGTATACAAAATGTATATAAGATTAAAGTGATTTGGATGTACATAAAAAATGTACTTCAGATGAAAGTGATCTGTATGTACACAAAAAGTGTACTGCAGATTAAAGTGATCTGGATGTACACAAAAATGCACTTCAGGTGAAAGTGATCTGGATGTACACAAAAAATGTACTTCGGACGAAAGTGATCTGGATATACACAAAAATGTACTTCGGATGAAAATGATCTGGATGTACACAAATGTACTTCGGATAAAAGTGAGCTGGATGTACACAAAAATGTATTTCTGATGAAAGTGATCTGGATGTACACAAAAAGTGTACTTCAGACAAAATTGATCTAGATATAACACAACTATGCCATATTTCAGTATTTTAACACATATCGTTTTGCATACTTAACACCTTGCTACAGTATAATACAACTATCCCATATTCCACTACGTCAGCATATATATAGTTCCTGAATTTGTAAACGAAAATTATTATACTCTGTTTCTACATTATGCGTACAGTTATTACAGTAACCTTTAATGTCCTTATTGGTCAACACTTTCAATATGTTTATTGAAATAATTGCCTGTTGTTTTTTGAGAACACCACTTTCAGTCACAAACATTATGTCTCATTGGTAAAAGAAATTTTCACTGTCCTCGTTAGTAACCACTGCCACAGCAGGAACTGTATAGTAGTCTTTAAAAGCGGAATTTCCAAACCTTCCATCATAATTACTAGCGAGAAAACTGCTTTTATCGAACCCTCCACCAATGACAGCACCCCTGCCACTCTGTAAATCATTGTTGCTGAAGCCATCAAAGTTAGCCCGGCTTGATTTTCTGGCTTTCAAACTTTCACCGTGAGGACTACCAAGTCTTCCCGTTTGGCCTCTGCCGTTGACATCTTTAAAGTTTCCACTACTGCCATCTCTAGGCCCGTCGTCTTGAAAACTTCCGCTTACCCGACACCCAAGTCGCTCAAGGTTGAGACGTATGCATCTACAGCACGATTACAAACGATACCAAAAATCTGTCTGTTTTCATTCCCCCCATCTCTTCCAGATCCTGTCTACAGCACGATTACAAACGATACCAAAAACTTGTTTGTTTTAATCCCCCCACCATCTCCTCCAGATCCTGCAGCGGCCGGTTTTTCGTGGTGTTCTTTGGCGATTTGGGAACTTTTGCCGTGGCTATGTAGACAAACGCAAGGACTGCGGCCATAGTTGGCTAGAAGACAAGAGAAAACGTTGTTACCGTACATAAAAACTACTTTCCAACACCCTTGTAGTTTCTTTGTTAACCTGGTTATCGCAATACAAAGTTAAATGTTCTTAGGTAAATCTTACCATACCGAAAACCTGGAGTCAAAAATTCAAACATATTTGTTTATTGATGAAAGAAAAAACAACTATTGGTTGTAATTTGATGTTATAAAGCATACACTATGCATTTTGTTAGACGCAAATATGGTTCTTGCTAAAATTAAGAATTTTCTACTAAAAAGCGTCCAAACCATCTCTCTTTTAACATATTAAACATCACGAAAAAATTGAACACGTGTACAACTTTATAGATCATATTCTGTTAATAAAACTATTCACTACTTAAACCTGTATCGATATATAGATCATATTCTGTTAATAAAACTATTTACTACTTAAACCTGTATCGATATATAGATCATATTCTGTTAATAAAACTATTCACTACTTAAACCTGTATCGATATATATAAATATATATTCTTCTTTATAAAGATGGGCTTAGAAATCATTGCAATATTAATAAAGTATTCGGTTACAGCCATCACTAACAAGGAGTTCTATGGGTATGTAATAAATAAAACACACATTGAGATTCCTACACCAAACTGTTAAAGTAAGTTATCTGGAAACATAGAACACAACTAACGTACTTACAACAACATCCATTGTGGTGTTATTGGATGGATCTTTCCTACACCAAACTGTTAAACTAAGTTATGTAGAAATATAGAACATAACTAACGTATTTACAACAACACCCATTATGGTGGTGTTGAATGGATCTTTTTTACACCAAGCCGTTAAACTAAGTTATGAAGAAATATAGAACACAACTAACGTACTTATAACAACACCCATTATTGTGTTATTGGATGGATCTTTCTTACACCAAACCGTTATACTAAGTTATGGTGGTTAAGGCACTCGACTCGCAATCTGAGGGTCGCGTGTTCGAATCCTCGTCACACCAAACATGCTCGCCCTTTCAGCCGTGGGGGCGTTATAATGTGACCGTCAATCCCACTATCGTTGGTAAAGTGTAGCCCAAGAGTGGCGGTGGGTGGTGATGACTAGCTGCCTTCCCTCTAGTCTTACACTACTAAAGTGGGACG